TTGTGTCGATATACTGTGACATCCATGTCAACAAACCATGTGATAGCTGTATCACACTCAAGTGATTTATTGAAATAGGGTGTCTGTGTGGGATGCTAGCCTTGACACACAAGGGTGCATGTCAAAGATCTACTTGTTTGTATACTCAAGTCCACAAAGACGTGTTGCATATATATATATCTAGGCAGTTACATGATCCTGTCTTTCCACTCATCTCTGCCAATGAAAAAGGGTCATATCCTTTTTACTTACCTCATTCCCATGATTTTAACTTGACTTCTTCCTCTAAACTAAATGTTAAATATTAGTTCCAACACTTATCCTAATCTATGCATCTATCAATCTTCTCTTGTGTGAATACTTCTTTTTATGCCGCTACTTCACGGTGAGTCTTTTACTAACACTTGCTTTGATAGTTCCCTTTTGATACTTCTTTCTTCTATCTTTGTACTTCCATTATTACCTATCAAAAAAAAATCTTTGTACTTCCATTATTCTACTATATTAGTGGATCTGGACTTTATAATATTGACATTTACCTGAGACAAGCAGTGATGATGTTTCTGACTTGCTGTTTGCATTTTCTTTCACGTGCCCTCAATAGGTTCTCTCTCTCATTTTTCGTGCTATATATTATTGAGGTTCCCATGTTTCTTGCAGAGAAGCAGGTCAATCCTCCCAGGAAAAATGATAATGGATTTCTTCATGAGGTGTGTGCACCTCTTTCTTTATGTGCCCTTCTTCCCCCCTCCCCAAGGGAAAATTGTCTTGCTTGATATAATGCTGTATGCATAATAGTATCCATTTTTTGTGTTGTCTGGTAAGTCATCCCTGAATTAATTGTACCTTGTTTATATATTGATAACCATGTAATTTACCTGCTCAATTACTTCGAGTTCCTTTCCTTGTTCTTTGCCTAATTTGTTTAATCGGACATTCTGCTAACAGGATTGGTGGCGAGATCTCCTTCAGGAAAATAACTATAAGGAGGTTGATTACAGTGGCAAAATGGTTTTGCTACTTGATATCCTAAAAATGAGCTCCAGTATGGGTGATAAGGCCCTGGTTTTTAGCCAGAGTCTATCAACTTTGGATCTAATCGAGTTTTATCTTTCAAAATTGCTTCGTCCTGGGAAAAAGGGAAAATGCTGGAAAAAAGGGAAGGACTGGTACAGGTGTGTATACAGCATTATAAGCATTCGAAAACTAATATATCCTTTGTGGTAGTTAAATAAAAATTGTTGTAACTCATTTTACGTTACTATTTAGTTTTGGAGTCATCAACTTTTTGCGCTCCTTGATATTTAATTAATTTGTAATGTGCATTTTCCTATCATACTGGGTATTGTCTATGCCATTTATTTTCTTATATTAATGGCATGGAATGGTCCTCACAAAGTTGTTATGGGCTCAAAAAATAAGATGACATATTAACTCTACACAGAGTCAATCACCTAAAGAAATAATGTCTTCACCAAGGTATAATTTTGGTATATACCATTTTTAACTTGATAGCATGATTTATTAGTTATCCTTTCGTGAAAACCACTCTCTTTGTGATGGATGGAGATACTTTTCTGTAGAATGCAATAGACCCGGTCCTCTTTAATGACTTAATACTTGTCAACTTTAGTTTGTAGCAGTTGTATGAGCTTGATTAGTGAGCTTCAATTCCTCTTTGTTGTGCCAGGGAACAAAGAAATGTTAAGTCACAAGTAACTCGAGTGATGAAATTATTTAATAAATTTCCAATCTCGAAGTTTTTGTTGCCATGCCATATTAACAGACATTAGAAAATCTTAAATGGATATATTTCTTGTTAATTATCATGTTTCTTGGTTATTCCTTGTATATGTTTATGTGCTGTTGTTGTAACAGGTATTTTAGTGACTCAAGACATCGTTGAAGTCTCCATATAGATTTCATTCAACTGAAAAATCTTTCTTTTCATGATTGTGATAGAAGATTCATTTGTTTTCTTGCTTCATCTACAACAGGTTTGATGGACGAACAGAGAGCTTTGAGAGGCAGAAACTTGTTGAGAGGTTCAATGAGCCTTCAAATAGAAGGGTCAAATGCACTTTGATATCTACAAGGGCTGGCTCTCTTGGCATCAACCTTCATGCTGCTAACCGAGTAATTATTGTCGATGGCTCTTGGAACCCAACATATGATCTTCAAGCTATATATCGGGTTTGGAGGTGTGTTTATGTCACAATCTTCTTTCTAGCAAATATGTAAACACAGTTGAAGTGTGTTAATGTATAGCACTTCGTGCTGTGCAGATATGGCCAAACAAAGTCTGTCTTTGCATATCGTTTGCTGGCACACGGAACAATGGAGGAAAAAATTTATAAGCGTCAGGTAGTGAGAGATGAAAGTGATTTTGCATGAGTTCATAATCCATATAATAGCTTACTGAAGAACAATTCAACAGGTGACTAAGGAAGGTCTTGCAGCAAGGGTGGTTGATAGGCAACAGGTACATAGAACAATGTCTAAAGAGGAAATGTTGCATCTGTTTGACTTTGGCGATGATGAAAATGCTGACACAATGCCTGAGTTGGTTCAAGAGACTGGAGTTATTACTGAATCAAATATAGCTTTGGACACAAAGCCTGAGCTGGTTCAAGAGACTGGAGATATTACTGAATCAAATACAACTGCTGGCACAACGCCTGAGTTGGTTCAAGAGACTGTTGTTATGACTGAATCAAATACAACTTGTCACGTGGGAAGTTATTTGAAGCAGAAACTGCCACTTCTTCATGGAAACTCATCTGCTGACAAGTTAATGCAAAGCTTGATTAGCAGGCACCATCCCAGGTAAACTCATTTTACTTGTGTACTTTGTAACTACTAATGCTTTTATATATTTCAGTACATGATGCTGCTTTTGTTGTTAAATGCTGTGTAAGATCACATATCTAAGAGGCCCATCTTGCACCTTTTAGTTTTGTGGTGAAAAGAGAGAATATATATACATGACATGTCACCTAATTTTGGAAAAGACTAAATATATCACTCCCTTCAATCAAGGGATTAACCTAGTGGTAACTGACTGGACTATAATTTTGAAATATTTACAGTTGTACTGATTTCCGATACATATTTGTTTCCTAAAATACACGGATTTCCTAATATTCAGGATATCATCAATGTTCTTACACTCTTCTTTAAGCTGATGAATAGATATTATTCATTCCCAGCTTGCTTGTGATTGTTAAGATGAAGGATTCCTTAGTCCCTTAGTTAAGATGTCTGCAAGTTGTTCACTCGTTGAAATGTATGGTGTGCACAATAGTCCACTATCTAGCTTATCTTTTATGAAATGCCTGTCTACTGCCACATGTTTAGTTTGGTCATACTGAACTAAATCGTGATTCGTGAGCAATAATGGTAGCTGACTTGTTATAAGAAAAAAAGTTTTGTTGTCATGTGCCATTTGATTTTTAGATCTTCAAGAATGATTCTTGGCCATGAAGGTCACAGATTCCCTTGTGCCATGGCTCCAAATTCAGCTTTTGCATTGATCTTGCCACAACTTTTTTCCTGCTTCTCCACGTTACCAAGTTTCCTCCAATGGAAGTACAATAGCTGAGGTTGATATCCTATGCACAACAATCTGCGCAGTGAGCATCTGTATAAGCTTCTAAACACAATTCTGCATTCTTTTTAAACATTATACCTTTCACTGGGGATAGCTCGAGATTCTGTAAACAACTTGGAGATGTGTCTCTTTTTGCTTGTACATGAATTGACTTACTACACTTACAACATAGGCTATATCCAGCTCTGTATGTGATAGATATGTCATTTTGCCTACTAACTTCTGGTATCTCCCTTGGCTTATTGTTGCTTCCTCATCAGCTTGACTAAGCTTTTGATTCGCTTCAGTAGGTGCAGTAGCTTGATTACTTTCTTCATGATGCCTATTTCCTTAATTTGATCGAGTACATACTTTTATAGTAATTCCATTTTTGAGTGTTCTACTTCAATTCCAAAGAAGTATATAAGTTTACTAAGTTTCTTTGTCAAATTTCTTTGCTAGTTTTTTTTGTAGAAAGTCCTTTTCTTCTGCATCATTACCTATTACACTTATATCATCATGTACAATTAAGATCGTAGCTTTCGGATACAAACACTCATCAAATACTCTAGTATGATCATTTTTTTTATTAGAAATACTTTATAATTTTAATTCAAATTTATTATTAAATGACAAATATGTATTCATATTTAAAAGATTTCAACCAGAAAAATCAATAACAATTATTAAACTAAATTTATACTATATAAATAAATTTTTTTAAAGAATTTAATCAATGTGTTGGTGATATATTGTGTCAATACTTTTTTGAAAAATTGCGTTGACATGATTGACATGTATTGTGTTGGACACGTGTGTTTGTATGGGTGCATTATAGGCTGGGTGCTTAATGAACGGAGTGTGTTCTTGACTACTTATCCATCATAACCAGCATAACTTTAGTAACCTACTGAACCGTGCTCTAGAAGATTGCTTTAGTCCACATAGAACCTCTTTTGATCTATATACTTTGTTCTTACCAAAATTCCAAGCAAAACCTAATGGAGCCTCCGTATACACTTCTCTTAAATCACCATGCAAAATAGCATTTTTGACCAATCAAGAATAGCTACTGAAGATAACCAAACTTGCGCTGATTCATTTTTGCCACTGTTGCAAAAGTTTCTTGATAATCCACGTCGTAGGTTTGAGTATATTCTTTATCTACCAATTTAGTTTTATATCTTTATAAGATCCCATCAGCTTTACATTTAACAATAAAAAAGTCCATTTACAGCCTACTAGTATTTTTCTATCGAGAAGATTGACTTCCAATGTTTGATTTTTTTTCGGTGCCCCCATCTTCTCAATCATGACATTTCTCCGGTTCTCATGTGTAAGTCTCATCTAAATTTTGAGGTATTTCAATGTAATGCAATTGAGTGAGAAAGGTTTTATGCATTGGGGATAATTTCTCGAGGAATATGAATTGAGAGATATAGAAGATGATCAAGAAAGGAAAGAAATCAATTAGAGTAATTGTAATTAATTAGTGATTATATTCCTTTTGGTTATTTGGTAGGTTAAATTGTTACCTAGTTTAGGAGATTAGTTTTCCTTTTTTCTTCCTATGTGTAAGTATATAATTAGGTGTAAGAAGGGATGAATTAAATAGAGAAGAAAAATTATTTTTTCATGGTATCAAAGCTACGATTGTTTTAACGTAGCAATCTATGGCGGAGTTCCTCGCCAACAGCACCGGTTCTACCATCTCCAATACCAAAACAGAAGTTCACTCCTCAATTGGTTCCAATGCATCTGAAAGTTCATCATTCCAACTTACCGTCGAGAAATTGAACAGAAAAAACTTTCGAAAATAGGCTCAGTCGATTAAATTAGTAATTGATGGAAAGGCGAAGCTAGGATACCTTACCGGTGAGACAAAGATGCCGGTTGATCATACCCAACTGCAACGGTGGAAATCTGAAAATTCCATGGTAACTGCCTGGCTAGTAAACTCCATGAAGCCATCGATAGGGAAATCCCATCACTTCCTTCGGACAGCTAAAGACGTCTTGGATGCCATGAAGGAGACTTATTCAGACGCCGATAATGCTGCACAAATCTTCGAACTCAAGACCCGTTTATGGCATACCAAATAGGGGATAAGAGATGTCACCGAATATTTCATGGAGATGACTTCTTGGTGGTAGGACCTCGACTTGAGCAGTGAAGCTACGATGTTTGGACTTGGGTACGGATATTGGACATGGGTACATATCAAGGAGTCAAGGCTCTTCTCATTTTAAAAATTAAGACATGGGGATACGGTCAAAAAAGAATCTGAATTTTGGATACGGGTACGAGGATACACCTTACAAAATATTTTTCTTAAAAAAAAATGACAGATAAGTTTTTTTATTTTATTGTAGTATAAATATTTCTTGTTTTGTAATTAATAATACTGAATTTGTGATGTTCTAATTATTATATAAAAAGTTGACATGAATAGAAATAAAAAAGTAAAAAATATAGTATACTAAGGAACTCAAATATAAGTATTGGACAATCGTTTTGAATAAAATCATTTTAAATTTTTATTTATTTGTACACAAATTAACTGATATTGGCCGTCAAAAAATGAACTCGTAGTTTAGTTTGTTTATCAACTCTTTCGATAAAATTAATTTAAACAATTGGATTATAATTTGAAATCAATTTAAATTTACCGCCAAAATATTTTCTTTTAAAATAATCAAAGAAAAAAAATTCAATTTTATTGTCTTATATATTATTCAAAAATAATTATAGAAATAAATTTAAATTTAATACCTAATAAAAGATATAGCGCTAAATTATTTTAATTGCAAAATAAAAAGTTCACATAGATGAAATTTAAGAAATAAAAAATTTAATACCCAAAAAACCTCAAATTAAATAGATCTCACCAAACAATTTCTAATAAAACAATTACAATTGATTAACTCTATGTATTGGACTTTAAAGAGCCCATAATTAGGCCCACCCCAATATAATCAATTAGGGTAGTTATTAGTCATCACCTCTTTGTCTTCCCCAGCTCTCGTCTTCTCCAGCCATCTCTCTGCAGAGCCAGAAGTAGAAATCCAAAAGCAAGACTCTACCTTCCACCTTCATCTCCCTTTTGCTGTCGTGTTCAAGTGCAAAACCAAAGATTCGATCCATATCCCGTGTCGGTATTCGTGTCATGTCATGTCATGTCAACACGGATACTTCTCCAAAAATGGGGAGTCCAAGCATCATAGCAGTGAATAGGAGTAGAGGTGCCTTGAAGATGTCGCCTTGTACAAGAAGCAGGAAAACGAGAGAGTTTAGATTTCTTGTAGGTCTGAATCGCGAGTTGGACGAAGTCAGAGGCCTAGGGCGCAATCCGTTGCTGTCTACCCGCGAGGTATTCGTGGAAGTGCGTCGGGAAGAAGCTCATTGGCATGTGATGTTGAAGGAGGTTATTGGAGGAGAAGTGTTGGTTTTGGCAGG